TTGGCCAGTGCAGAGGCCCTTAGTCAGTCTGGGGCGGGCGCTGTGCTACTGTGGGTGCCTGGGGCCTGGTAGGACGTTGGCCAGTGCAGAGGTCCCCCAGTCTGTCTGGGGTGGGCGCTGTGCTGCTGTGGGTGCCTGGGGCCTGGTAGGACGTTGGCCACTACAGAGGCCCCCCAGTCTGTCTGGAGCGGGCACTGTGCTGCTGTGGGTGCTCGGGGCCTGGTAGGACGTTGGCCACTACAGAGGCCCCCCAGTCTGTCTGGAGTGGGCACTGTGCTGCTGTGGGTGCCTGGGGCCTGGTAGGACGTTGGCCAGTGCAGAGGCCCTTAGTCAGTCTTGGGTGGGCACTGTGTTGCTGTGGGTGTCTGGGGCCTGGTAGGACATTGGCCACTACATAGGCCCCCCAGTCTACCTGGGGCGGGCGCTGCGCTGCCGTGGGTGCTTGGGGCCTGGTAGGACGTTGGCCTTTAGGGGCTGCTGTATCACATAGTTAGCATATACTGAGTTAGCATTTCACTAAAATTCCTACATCTTCACATGAGCTGTCACTCCGCCCCTTGCTCTCCATGTGCAATTGATTTTTCTACTGGGATGTTTTCATTTATCACTGTTCATCTTTTATAAGAGTCACCTCTTCCTTGTAGTCTGTTGAGATATTTTGGGATTCTGATTCTGTCCTCCCTCCCAATTCTCATCCAATATTTGGCCTTTATCAGAGTCACTGATAAAAGTGTTGAGCAAGGAAGTGGAGTGTGATGGAGGGAGCACTGGCCGTGACCAAGGCCCTACTTTCGTTTTTATCTCCGTATTCCGTGCCTGGCCCAGAATGAGCACTAACAAATATTTGCTGAATAAATTAATGAATGGGGAGGTATAGGCCAGGTGGCTGTGTGTGGTCCCTCCCCAGTGTGGCCCGAACAGGCTTAAAATATAGTTGGGAAATATGGGACAAAATCAATGGAGATACAGTGAAGCAGAGTGACCTCTGTTCCTATTTGAGTTGACGTTGCAGGTGTAGACCTGGGTGGCCACCCCCAAAATAGAAAGAGCTCTGGATCTGGACTGAATCCCAGCTCCTCCTCAACTGCCTCTGTGACTGTAGGTCACTCCTTTTACCCCTTCAGGCCTCAGTTTCCTAATCTGTAAAATGAGAGGGTTGGATGACCTCTAAGGTTCCTTTCCGGTCTAAGCCTATGAATCAATCAATTGATCAGCAAGTATTTGTTTTGTTGTTTAATCATTTTCAGTTTTCTCCGACTTTTCACGACCCCATTTGGGGCTTTCTTGGCAAAGATACTGGCGTGCTTTGCCATTTCCTTCACAGAGATGAGGCTTCCCAACTCCAGGCCTGGCGCTCTATCTGCTGTACCACCTAGCTGCCCCAGCATTTATTCAGCTCCTACTATATGCCAGGCATGTTAGGCACTAAGGATAAAGTACCAAGGATAAAATAATCCCTATTTTCAAGGAGTTTACATTCTACTGTTTGCAATTCTATGAACAGAGGCAAAGACAGAGCCTAGTGGCACCCCAATTGAGAGTTCCTTCCAGGTTGATATTGTTGCATTAATTATTACTCTGAGTATACACTTTCAAGCCCCAGATCTCCACCTGCTCCCTAAGGCCGTCGTATATTAAACTATCTCTGTGGCCTTCCCCTCATGGACCAGTCTGATGACCTTCTCAAAAAGAAAATTAGGCTAAATTAGGTGTAGGTGGCAGTCACTAACAGACAAGAAAGCAAAGAGAGAGAATGAACCGAGAAAAAAGAAAAGGGCCAGTGTCCGAACCACGAGCACAGAGTTTGAGTGGGAGGAGGATGAAGCAAAGGAGACAGAGAACAAGCAATTGAAGAGATCAAAGTAGGGAGAATGGAGCTGCTGGGAGCGAGGGGATGAGAGTTCAACAGTGTCTGGTGCTTCAGAAAAACAGAGGAGGATGGGAAACAGAGGCAAGTGAGAGGTTCACTAATGACCCTGGAGGAATCTATTTCTGGAGACACCGGGTCAGGAACTACATCACAAGCACTTGAGGAGTGAGTGAATGAATGTAAAATAATTAAGTGCATGCTACACGTGGAGTATTGGGCTTAGAGGGAGAAAAAGCAGAAAAGTCCCCAATCTGAGGGAGCTCACCCTCCGCTTTGGGGAGACAACACATAAAAGACAGAGGCAAGGCCTAGAAGCGGTGAGGGTCGGACAGGTGGTCTGGATGTCCAGGCCCAGGGGTCCTCAGCTTACATAAATACATCAGATGATGGCACAAGGGGGACTCAGGGGGAAAGAAGCCAGGGCACATGCTGAGGCCTGCAGGCGCTCAGAGGCAGTGGCAGGGCACGTGATCAGGTTCCTCCATTTTGACAGAAGATAGAGAGTTATTGATCCCCCTCTCCTCCAGATCATATGTACAGCCAAGCAGCCGGGGCGGGGAAGGCCAAGGGTAAGGTTGCCCACCACCAGGGGTGTTGGCTCTGGAGATGGGCCGGGGGAAGGGTAGTCGTGCAATAAAGGCATCAAGAACAGACTCCTTTTTTTGGGAATTAGGCAGTGAAGGGGAGGAGCTTGGTTCTCCTATCAGTCTGAATGCACCTCCATCTTCTTTGCTATATCTTCATCCATGCCCTCCCTGCCCTGCCCATAGGTGTATTCCAGGGCATTATCCTGGGCCCCCTTCTCTTCTCTCCTCTCTGCCTTCTCTCTGTGGTTTCCCCATGGGTTTCCATTATCATCTTTATGCAGATAACTCCTAAATCAGCCCTAATCTTTCTCCTGAAGTCCAGGTCTGCATTACCAACTAGCTACTAGACATTTTAAACTGGACGTTCTCTATCATCTCACATGGGATATGTCAAAAACAGAACTCATTATCTTTCTGCCCAAATTCAGCCCTCCTCCAAACTTCCCTATTTTAGTCAAGGGCACCACCATCCTTCCAAACACCTGTCTTCCAGGTGGACGTTTATAACCTCAGAGTCATCCCAAACTTCCCATCTTGCGCCCCGTGGCCAATCAGGTTCCGATAATTCTGAATTTTATCTCTGCAGCTTCTCCCACATCCATCGCCTTCCTTATTTCCTCACACCACAAGCAGCCTGTTTGAGCCTCTCAGTACCTTTCACTTGTTGGAGAAGTTTCTGTGATGCTGACTATGATTTCTTGGTATTGGAGTTGCTTCCTGAGTGATTGTGATGGTTATTTTGTGATATAGAAGCTCTGAATTTTGGCTGTTAACATTCTTGGGCTTTCTCTTTTATAATTCCTCTCAGGAGGTGATAAGTGGATTGTATCTTTACATTGTCTTCTGGTTCTAATAAATATGGGCAGTTTTAATTTATGATTTTTTTGAAACAGGGCATCTAGATTTTTTTTATAATGGTTTTCAAGGAGTCCAGTGATTCATAAATTATTTCACCTTGACCTGTTTTCCAAGATCAGTTGTTTTTGATATCAGATGCCTTATATTTTCATCTATTTTTTTTCAATCTTTGAGTTTTGTTCTAATATTTCTTACTATCTCATCGAGTCATTGATTTCTGTTTTGTTTATTTTCGTTTTCAGAGAGTCCATTTCTTGGGTAAGATTTGCCACTTTTTCTTCTAAGCTATTTATTCTCCTTCCAATTCTTTCCTCTGGAGCAGAAGTCACACTTGCCTTCTCTGGCCATGGCAGCAAAATTCCAGAGTGGAGCCAATCCAGATCAAAATATGATTGGGAAATGTTTATCAAAATAAATATAAATACCATACAACATAGATAATGTCAATTTGTGGTTTTCTAAATCAGTATGCAGCTGGCAGGGATCTGCTTCTATTTGATTTGGATGCTAGCCTACAGCTTTGATTTCATTTTTTTATCTCTTGTTTTATTTCTTCTAGATATTCATGTAGTCCTTATGGAAAATCCATTTTTTTTTTCTCTTGAGTCTCTACTTATGGTTGCTATAGAGTTACTCTCTCATTCTTTTAGGAGATCTCTAGACCTATAATAACTTGTGATACTGGTCAGGGTTTTCTTAGGTCTACTCATCTCTCCAGTTTCAGTTCCCGGACTGGGGCCTTGTGCCCGGGTCAGGCTATGCCCCATTCTGTACTTTTGGGTGGAGTGGTCAGGTTTCTTTTTCCATAGCCTGCAATCCCTTGGGTTTCTACACTGAACTCTACTTCCTGGGGTTAGGATCCCTTGAATCTTCAGGGCCTCTCTGCCCTTTCAGGTAGAGTGCAAGAGACCTGGAAGTCCCTGGGCATCTGGTCCGTTCCAGCCTGAGTGTTGCCCCTCCTGGGGCTTCCAAAGTCCCCACCCTGGAGCCTTTACCGGGTGGCAGTTCCCCTCTGGTAGTGCTGGGAGGTTACCTGAGGGTGACTCCCTTTCCTATCACCCATGGGCTTCTAGCTGACTTTCTATGTAGTTCTGGTGTAGAAGAATTCACTTAATGTAGTCCCACCTTGGATTTCTTGAGTGTTCTAGGGTGAACTTTAGGTTTTTGCTGGAGCAGATGTGTGGGAAGTGGGTGGCCAGCCGTCATGGCCGGAAGAACAGTGTACACATTTACACAAATCTGGGGATTTAAAAATAGTTCCTTCCCATGAGAGGTTGAGGACTCTCTGCTCTGCCATCTCTGATGCAGAAATCCCACAGGATGAGACTGAATTCAAACGTTGGTTTGGTTTAGTTTTCAGGCAGACCCTAAAAAACCCATTGGGGGTCACATCCTGGCCCATGCTTCAACAACAAGGATCTGCTTGCGAAAGGGAAGAGGAGAGCTTCGCATTGCCAAAATTTATGACAGGTAACTTAATTTGTGTTCGTTTTAAGCAACTGTGCAGATAGGGAGTAACAGAGAGTGCTGGCCTGCCTAAAAAATGGCATCATTTAGGCCGTAGGTGGGAGCAAAGTCTCCCTTTGAAAAGGATTTCCTTTTCAAAAGTTATTTTGAGAGGACAACTAGATTAACCGTTTCCCCTGGGGACCGAGGCTGGAAAAAAAAAATCACGTGGGGTCCTCAAGTCTCAAGTTGCTTCTTGATACAGCCTCTGCATATTCTTGGCACTGAGCAAATGTTAAATAATGACATGGTGCTCTTTCATTGATCTGGCCTCCCACCTCTCTAGATTACCATTTTCATCGAGCCCATGCCTTTTCCTTTTGGAAAGTAGAGCACACCAATGTTATATTTTATGGAGCTGTAAGAGCTCGCTGGTAATTTTCTGCAAATATACTTAAGTGGATTCAAAGAGTTCCTGGGCCTCCCCCGAGTCACTGTGGTGATTTCCTTGGAGGGGCCGCTGGGATTCTGGAGCAGGTCCAGAGAAGGAGGACCAGGCTGGAGAGGGAACCAGAGACCAGGTCTACAAGTGGAGGCCATCAAACCCTTTGGAGAGGGGATTCCTTTTTAGGTTTGCCTTGGACTAGCCGACTTCCTGAGTCTTCTTCTCCAGCCCTGAGACTTTCCTTTGCAGGATGTAGGCCTTGAGAAAATGCCACGCCTGCATGTTCATCTGAGCCCTCTCAACTTGCAAGACCATGCAATCCCTACAAGCTTAGGATCAGCTTTGCTAATTCAGCTAGAAATAATGTATCCCGCAGAGCCAAATTTCTCTTTCAATCTCTCCTTGTGTATGTCAGAATCATGTAGGATGGCCTGAGAGATATAACAGCAAAGTAAATTGTTCAGCCACCTCGTGATTTTTAGTATCAAGAGAGTTATAGACCAGGGGATGGATGCTCAGTGGTGTTGGCCACTGTCCCAGAAGAGGTCCAGAGAGAGTCAAAGAGAGATTCCCTCTCTCTTTGAGGGAGGGAATTCCCTACAGACAGGAGGGTTTCAGACGTTCCTGTGTGTAGATGACCTTGTGCTGAGGCTAGCTCAGAGGCCCTCCTGGATGGGACGAGGGTCTGGCCCAGCTGCCTACACAAGAAAGACTGAGTGGGCGACAAATAATAATCACATTTAAACAGCCCTTGAAGGTTGGCAAAGTGATTTACATACTTTATGTCATCCAATCCTCCCGGCGAGTCAGCGAGGTTCTATTACTGTCCTCATTTTATTTTTATTTATTTTTTTTTTAGTGAGGCAATCGGGGTTAAGTGACTTGCCTAAGGTCACACAGCTAGTACGTGTCAAGTGTTTGGTCTGAGGCCGGATTTGAACTCAGGTCCTCCTGACTTCAGGGCTGGTGCTCTATCCACTACGCCACCTAGCCGCCCCTACTGTCCTCATTTTACAGATGAGGAAACCCAGGTGGTGGGAGCTTCAGTGATGTGGGACACATGTGCCTCTTGTCCAGATGGTGACATGCAGGCGGATAGAAATCTACAGTTGGTCCATTAGTCTGTCTCCGTCTGTCCACATGTCTGTCTGTCTCTCTGGACAGATGTTGCCAATAGACAGTGACCTAGCATTGCCCAGGAGCTCAGGCCTGGGTGGGCTTTGTTCTTCGCTGTTGGAAGTCTTGTCCAAAGTGACGAGGTCCTGGAGCCCCTGGAGTATAGTGGGATTCCTCCTGATTCCCATGGTGCTTGACAAGAGCGGGACCAAGGAACAAAGCCTTGCTGATTATGCAGCATTCTTGGGTCAGAGGAAAGACTCACGGGGATCTCAGAGGCCATCTCACGAGTCTGCCCTTCTCTGGCCCCTGGGCAGCTTCCCAGCATGCAATCCTTCACCCTGCCTCTCCTCAAGCCCCCCCAGGGATAGACTTGTTGCCTCCCGAGACAATTTGTTCCACTTTGGCACAACATTAATGGCTAGAAAGCTCTTTACTATATGTATCCGAAGTCTGCCTCCTGATGACTTCCACCCATCACTCCTAACTCTGCCTCTGCCGCCAAGCAGAATAACTAGAGTCCCTTTCAAACTTGTATTTCTCTGGCTTCTTGGGACACGGACAGACCGTGTAGCTTTTGTACTCGTCATTCTGGGCAGAAACTTAGGCTCCCCCAAGGCCAATGACTTGCCCAAGGTCACATGGCTAGTAAGTGTTGGAGCTGGGATTTATACCCACCTCTCTTGACCCCATCCGTACCAATTCTCCCCGACACCATGCTGTCTTTCTACTTACTGTACTGGGGTAGACTGAGCTCTATGTAATTTCAGAGGAAACTTTTTGGGTGAAAATCTGGGGAAGTTGGTCAGACACACGCTCATGGTCTAATGATTATAAATCCAGACAGGCAAACGCCTCAGATTTCCCACGTAGATGATGTCCCTGCCCTCTCAAAGGGAAGGGATGACGCGTTATTAGCTGGAGCTTCTTACGTACTTTCATCCTTATGTTTTGGTAGCCCCGAGATGCCTGAAAACGAAGCCACCTTCGCAATAACAGCTGGGGGAATCGGGGACGCCAAGGAGTAGGTGGAGAATTGGTGCAGATCGGGATGGCGGAGCAGGCGCGATCCAGCCTGAAGAAAGGGAAGAAAACCACACATTCAGAGCGCGAAATCAGGGTTTGTTTTTTCACATGATTCAGGGTGTTGACTAATGAGAAGTGGGTAAAAGAGATAAAAATTATTCCTTGCCTTCTAAGTACCTGGCTCCTCTCAGTTTGTCTTTTCAAAGTATGCCCCCCAATTTGCCCCGTTCTCAGAACAGACATTGCAGATGAACCCAAAGAGCTCCGCCCCCCACTGTGCCATTCTCTCTCTCAGCCTTTGCTTGTACGTCCAGAGACAGGGAAGCTTTGTGTACCAAGGTCCAGAGGTTCACTGGGCCCAGGAGAAAACTGTAGGGATTGAGAACATCAGAGCGTCTGCGTGGCCTTATTATTATTAGCAAGAATAAACCAAGTCACTGTTTAGGGATTGGCTTCTAGTCACTTTAAATGGCTCTTAAAGGAGTCCAAGACACCCACCCCAGAAACTGCGGAGGAGGGTAGAGAGTTAAGGATGAACCCTGCAGGGATAGGGGATCAGCAGCTGCTTTTTGGAGAATTGTTTAGAAAATGCCAACCTGTCAGATTTTAAAATTAACTATAACGTTCCAGAATGTCAGATTTTAAATGTTTAAAGGGTCAACATTGTTTCTTCTGAGTATTAAATACAAAATTTGTTCCAGCAAATATGTATGTGTGGTGTGATTTAGCAAGAACCGTCTCCAGCTCCTGCCTCAGGCGAGGCCTGTTCTCTGCTCTGGGAATCGAAGAGCAAGCCGACCCAGGCCCTGACTCTCCAGAAGGGAACCCAACAAGGCTGAGCCTGACTTTGTGTGGACTCCTAATTGGCTTTAGAGCTCAGCAGCAGTTAGCTCATTTCACAGATGAGGAAACTGAGGCTCCAAGAGGAGACGTGGCCAAGCAGCCATTAAATGGCAGACCGAATTCACCCAGGCTGCCCTTCTGTTTTTTCCATTTATAGCCCTCCTGGGTGATCCGTTGCTTATAGATGTCTTTCAGGTTTGCAGAGCACACTGTGTACATTATCTCTGCTGTGTACATTATCTCCTCGGAACCTCACAACCACCCTGTTGGGTAGGTACTGCAAATATTATGACCCCCACTTTATAAGTAGGTAAACTGAGGCTTACAGTGGTTACATATCTTGCCTTTAGTAAGTCAAGTAAGTTTGGCTAGTAGATGTCAGAGTAGAATTTGAATCCAGGTCTTCTGGCAAGTCAACCCAATCTACTATGTAGATCATCTCTGTGTAGAAGGCCCTGTTCCTGATCTCAAGGAGTCTGAGGGACACCAGACTCACACTCATGAAAGAATGAGAATAGCAGAGACCATGAATGTTCACAGACCAGGGCCATGCAGATTGTCAGCATGGTAGAATAATGAGGAGAGGGAGATTAGAGGGTGAGGGAGGGCCTCAAGGAAGAGCTGGCTTCTAGAGAGACTCTCAGAGTCTGAGTGGGGTCCCACTAGGTGGAGAGGAGAAGAAGGCCAGGGCAGGAGTTTGAGCAAAGGCATCTTGGTTAGGGTGGGGGGTGAGGAGGAAGCATTTGAAGCATTTGGAGGTAAAAGACTCAGGTCTGAATCTGAGTTTCCCCACTTACAACCAGTGACCTTGGGCCAGCCACCTCCTGTGCTTGTTTCTTCCTCCACAAAATGAGGGGGTCCCACTGATAACCTCTGGGATCCATTCTAATTCTAAGCCTTTGGGAGAGTTGAGCAGGGTAGCTGGCACCTAGATGGTTTGTCCATTGGCTGAGAAGGTTGGATAGCTATCCCAGGCCAGATGATGGAGGCCTCAAAACTTCAAAGAATTCAGACTTTCATAGAATTTTCCAGTTGTTACAGACCTTAGAGATCAGTTAGTTGAACCTTCTAACTGAATTCCCCTGCCCTTGAGAAACTTACCCTTCAGTGAGGTAGACGGGTCATATCAAACGAGGATAACCAGGCCAAGACACAAGCAGTGAGGTGATGGAGAGGGGTATGGAAGAAGTCAGACTGTAGCAGAGGAGAGTCTTCCTCGTGCAGGGCCCAGGGAGGCCTGACTCCAAACCTGCAGCTTGCCTGGTGTCCTAAGGGACCGGGATCCCTTCTGGAGACCTGGGACAAAGCACTGCCTCTTTGGGCAGAAGGGTCAGAAATCATTTAGTACCTGTAGGAACCTGAGCAAGTCACCTGTGTGGGCCTTGGTTTCCCCATCTGCAAAATGGAAAAGTTGGTCTAGACAGCCTCTGAGGTCCTTTCCAACCTGAGAGCTAGGATACTTTCACGTAGGCCTCACGGTGAATCACATGGGCTCGGACTGTGTTCCTTCCCTCTTTGTTCCTCAGTTTCCTCATTTGTGAAATGGAGATGATAATGCTCGCCCTGCCTACCTCTCAGGTTTTTTTGGCCTTGTGAACTTTAAAGTGCCATAGAAATGGGAGTTTCCTGTTATTACTGATCTGAACACAGTCAGAGAGAAGCCCAGGACAGGCAGAATGGGAACGCAGCCTCCTGGCAAATCCACCAAACCGGGAGGGTTGCCTGGAATGGGTCAGGTCTTCCATAGGGGCAGAGACTCCCAGAGATGACTTAGAGGAGGAGGGTCAATTCATCTGTCATCAAGAGCTGAGTCAGGGACATAAGATCCCCACCCACCAACCCAAATATCAGAGAAGCGCATCCTTCCATGTCATTCATTTCCTTTATGTATTTTATGCATTTAAAAACATGGTTCTGAGAAGGGGTCCATAGGCTTCACCAGACTGCCCACGAGGTCCAGGACACAGACAAAGTGAAGGACCTCTGCTTTAGGGGAAGGGGCTTAGATTTTCACTGCTGAGTCCCTTGGACAAAATCAGTGTCCACACAGGGAAGAATTTGATGTAGAGTTCAAAGAAAGGCAGAGAACCTGAGCATTGTCCACACGGTCCTTTACCAGGCTTGTCTTCAGGGCCTTTCCAGCTTGGTAGAACCTGCTAGATTTTCCACCCCTCTGACACAAGAATCCATGAGCTGACATGTATAAGCCAGTATTTTAGAAAAAGTAAGTTGGCTAGAGGGCCCAGCATTTATGTACCACAATGGGCTGCCATATTGGGAATGTGGCGTACTTGTCCATACAAACGCTCTATTGCTAACTTACATTCCTATTGAACTTTTAACATTTACAAAGCACTTTCACCTAGGTCATCTTATTTTGTTCTCACAACAAGCCTATGAATTTGGAAGGGCAGTTATCACCTTCCCTTTCCTGGCAAACCCAAATGTGTCCAGAAATGAGTGGTGAGGAGAATGGAGACTGGGCCACAGAAGAATGAGGTACCCCAGTAAGATTTGTTGAAGGACATTTTTGTAGCCAGTCAAGGTCCGAAGGATGAAGACACAGGCATTGGGGCTTCTTCTAGAAGGAAGAATGTGGCCTTGTTCCACATCTGCTGATCCAGGCTGGCACCAACCACTTGTGGCACGTAAATGCCATAACAGGACAAAATGGTTTCCCACTAAGTCCCATCTCTGAGGGGTGTTGGAGATGATTCACCAGTTTTCCTGACTTCCTGGAGATTCTAGGTCAGTGGTTGGTGGGGAGACACAAGGTGTTATCTGTTCCCTCTGCCTCTAAGGCTATGCTTTGGGATGTTTAGACCCTATAATTGGTTAACAGAGTGAAAGAGGGAGAAAAGAAAAAAGGAGAGGGTGATTCCATTGCCCACCCCTGTGCAATTTTATTATGTATGAAAGATGAGGAAGAGATAAGCACGGATGGACGAGGTCATTCTAGGTATTCTATGTAGGGAGAATGGTAGGAACAAAACCATGGATGAGAACATGAAAGAAATTTCCAGAAGAGAGGGGATAGAATAGTGTGCCTCCCACAGAGCATCCATGAAGGGTATCCAGTTACAACTAGAAGGGTAGACTGGGGGCCTCGAAAGCCAGGCTGAGATACCTGGACTTCTCTTCGTCTGGTTGGTAATGAGCAGCTGGAGGTTCAGAGCCAGGGGAATGAAATGACAAAACTGACCTTTGAGCTGTGGTTCCCTGGCATCCCTGAGCTGCCTCTCCTGGGTTCCAAAGGTAGCCTGACTACCCATTAGCAGTGAACTTCGAGCTGCAGTTATTTGGCAACAGGAACACAGACATCCTCATAAGGCCATTATTTCATACAATGCAGATCCCAGAGATGAGCCTGTGGGTTTGTTTGATTGTTTTACTGCACTAATTCCTCAAAGCTAATGATGATAATAATAATAGCTAACATTTATATTTCACCCACTAAGTGCTAAGAACTTTACAAATATCTTCTCATTTCATCCTCACAATAGCCCTGTGAGATAGGTGCTGTTATTATCCCCATTTTACAGATGAGAAAACAGATGGAAACAGAGAAGTTTAAGTGAATTGTCCACAGTCACTCAGCTAGTAAGTATCTGAGGCAGAATTTGAACTCAGCTCTTCCTGCCTCCAAACTGGAGTGCCTTGACGTCCCTTTCAGAACTGAGATTTTGAGATGAATCAGAAGAGAAGTTTCCTTCAGCCAGTGTCCCATCATGGCTTCTCTGGGCAATGTCTCCTTCCTGCCTGTGTGGGGACGATGATAGGAAATTCTGATGCTAGGTTTGAAAATGAAGGTAAATGGAGAGACAAGATTCCAAGCATGGTTGATTTATTAGTTAGGCTAGCAGGAACCAATACAGTGGATCAATGGCCTCCTTCAATGACCATAGACCCTGAGTGAAGGCCGATGGGATCACATCACTGGGATCTCCCCTGGCAATGGAAAGACTATCCCAATTGGTAGACATATTCAGGAGGAGGTGGTTAAGAATTACTTTGACTTGTCTCCATTACTTCTGCAGGGAGATGGGAGTAATCCTCAGGTGAGAGGATTAGTCTGGAGACGTTGATAAAGCCTGTGTACCAGGGCCTTTAATTAAATTAACTTAAATTTGAGTTAAGTGAGTGGTGGGTGAAATCCACCCACTTTAAAATCCATTTAAATATTACACTGAATTGAAAGGACTGAATTGAATCAGGACTTTCCTCCTTCATGGCTCCCAACTATATACTGGATGTTCCAAAAGTCTTCATGCAGGTTTAAATGAGTAAAACTTTTAGCACATCCTGTACACGCAATTCTTCTACCATGAGTCTCATGACACAAAACACCAGGATCTCCGAGTTGGAAAGGACCTCAGAGGCCAGCTAATTGAGCCTGACCAGAAATTCCCTCTACAGCACACTCCACAATCAGTCAACCTGCCATTAATTAACAACTTCCACGGGGAGGAACCTACTACCTCCCTGAGCAGCCCATTCCACTTTGGGACAGCTTTAATTGTCAAGAAGAACAAGTCTGCCACGTACAGTCTCAGAAAGGCTGGAAGTGAGCCAAACTCTTCTGATTTGCAGGCTCTCTCTCTCTCTCTCTCTCTCTCTCTCTCTCTCTCTCTCTCTCTCCCTCTCTCCTTATCTCTGTCTCTCTCCCTCTCTCTCTCTCTCTCTCTCTCTGTCTGTCTCTCTCTCTCCTTTAGGCCACTCTGCTTCTCAGATCCAGTAAAACCTTCAGGGCTTTTTCAGGTAAATATCTACCCATGCCTTTCCTCTCTTGACCTGGTAAAATAAATTATTCAAACCCATATCTAAGACTTTACGTTTGTCCCTCCTGAATTTCA